CCACACTGGATCTCCTTATGTCTAAGGGGAGGGTTCCGGTCTCCCTCCAGCCTGTAAGTGTTGTGGACTAAGGAGCATCCAGGCAGGTTCAGTAAGTCTGTGACTAAGTTCCCGTCTCTTAGATGCAAGAGAAGTTGCGTTGTGGATGCTTGTTGGGGGGGCAGGGGGGGGGGCGAAGGGGGGGCGGGGAGGTTGTGGACTGTAGCGTTGCCACATCGCCCTCTTGTGGTTGCTGTATGGAATTCTTCACAAAATCCTTTCTGTGAAGAATGGGCAATAATTTCCACTTGGAACTTTTCCACAATGGAACACGCATAACTGCCGTGGGAGAAAATTTCAGGGGAGGCTTGCAGGATGCTTACCCAGGGAGTTAGAGAGTGGTGGGCCTCTAAGTTGGTGGTTCTACATAGATCTCAACCAAGATTTCATTTGGGTTTGAGGTAGGGTTTGGGCATCAATATTTTTTAAAAGTTATCTGGCAACTCTAACATGTAGGTAACCTTGGGAATGTTGGCAGGTGTAAGCCATGCTTACGTGACCAAGTGGACACCTTCCCAAAATGTGATTTTTGGCCTTGGCCAGGTGGCTCAGTTGGTTGGAACATCATCTCTCTCCTTTAATCCATGTCTCTTTCACTCTCCCTTTCCCCTTCCTCTCTCTAAACATATCCTCGGGTGTAGATTTAAAAAATGTTATTTTTGGCCCGGTGGGTGTAGCTCAGTGATTGAGCATTGACCTATGAAACAAGAAGTCATGGTTTGATTCCCAGAGCACATGCCTGGGTTGTGGGCTTGATCCCTAGTGTGGGGCATGCAGGAGGCAGCTGATCAATGATTTTTTTCTCATCATTGATGTTTCTATTTCTCTCTCCCATCCTTCCTCTCTGAAATCAATAAAAAATATATATTTTTAAAAATGTGATTTTGAGAGCTCTACTTATTGGTATATAGAAGTATAGTTAATCTACACAAAATCACTAGGTAGTCAGTATGGTTTTAGATTCGTGAGTCTCAGTCAGTGGGGGAGCTTTTCCCCACCAGGAAACATTTAGCAATGGCTGGAGACATTGTCTTGATTGGGGACAGGGTATGTGCTACTGGCATCTGCCAAACATCATGCAATGCACGGGGCAGCCATGAAAACAATTATCTGGACCAAAATGTCCACACTGCTACAGTCCTCTCCCCCCACCCCCATATATTTAATTGATTTTTTTGCAGAGAGGAATGGAGAGGGATAGAGAGTTAGAAACATCAATGAGAGAGAAACATCCATCACCTGCGTCCTGCACACACTCCACTGGGGATGTGCCCACAACCAAGGTACATGCCCTTGACAGGAATCCAACCTGGGACACTTGAGTCCACAGGCCAATGTTCTATCCACTGAGCCAAACTGGTTAGGGCAGTGGTCAGCAAACTCATTAGTCAGCAGAGCCAAATATCAGCAGGATGACGATTGACATTTCTTTTGAGAGTCAGATTTTTAAAACTTAAACTATATAGGTAGGTACGTTGTTATGAACTTATTTAGGGTACTCGTAAGCTGGCCTTTGCTAAAAACTCAAGGGGCCAAAGAGCCGCATGTGGCTCGCGAGCCACAGTTTGCCACCACTGGGTTAGGGCCACATTGCTACAGTTGAGAAACCCTGCTTTGTATTGCTTCATAGGGGGAATTTGGAGAAGTTTGAGCAAGGCAATTACTCTGGCAGTGACAAAACATGAAACAACCCTTTCCACACAGTTCTTTTCTCCGTGTGGAAGGGGGCTCCTGACTTTGGTGGGGAAGGCAGCTCCCCTAGGAAAGGAACCGTCTCACAGCTCCTCCAATCAAAGCAGCCGCCTTCGGTACTACACAGCTACAGCTACAGAGACACAGGCCATGAAGCATGTGTTGCCATCCCACTATGCCATGAATCCTGTCAGTATCACAAGACACGGGTACAAGTTTCTTGACGAACTGTCTGTGTTTTCTTCATTTCCTGGAGGTAGAAACAGAAACTGCAGGAAGAGAAGTCACTGACTGTCATGGGTGGCTTCTCAGTCAGCGTTCGCACCCTTTACCAATCACATCTGGGTGGTCTAATGAGAGAAAGTGTCCTAAAGAGGCTTGAGAGCATGCCCGGTCATACTGCAGAACAGCAGTCCCTTAAGACGGAAAATGAGTCTTTTCCTCCTGAGTTCTCCAGAATTCAGATGTGCTCATTCAGAAAACTACATTAGAGAAGAATCATGGGGAAGTCAGACTCTAAAGTATCAGTTTTACTTTTATTTTTATTTTTTTAAGCCCAAGGCAAAGGAATGCTCCAGCTTGCACACGAAGGTCATGTGAAAGATGGCACAAAAGACTCCAAGACACCGCCACCCTCCCCAGGGAGGTCTTGACCTGGGATAGGAAACTTTGAGGATCAGCCCCTTCTTTCCCCCTTTGCGCCTGCCCTTCCAGCGTGTGGGATTCAGCCACAGGAAAACCCAAGTGCTGAAAACTGAGCTTCTGGGGGGAGCTGAGTTGTAAAGGAGAGAGTGCTCAGACAGCCCAAGATGAGACAAAGGAGACATAGTGGACATTTTTTTTCTCATTTATTCCCTGCCCAGCAATGAATTCCACTGCTTATGTTTGGGGAATTTGCTAACTCATAAGAGGCAGAGCCCCCCCTGCCACTATGCCAGGAGAAAATGGCAGGTATTGAAATCCCAGCCTCCCTAGAGAGAACATGGGTGAGTGGCCTAGGACGGGCCACTCAGTCCCAGACTCTGGGTTAGAAAATAGAGGTGGAGAGATGACTAAGGACCCTGGAGCAGTCACTTTGGTTCAGACAGTGCCAACAGCAGAATGAGTTCCCAATCCAGCGGAGGTAGGAGGGAGGGGGTGGTGGAGCCCAGATCGAGTGCTGGAGGACAATGGCAGAGCCACTGGTGCTCAGCGTTGCCATCCCTGAGCTGGGTTTGTGATTGTGGGGAGCGGCTACAGTGTTTGCACAGGTTCAAGCCTCGGACTGATGAGAGGGCACAGTCCTCTCATGACCACATGCAAGTCCTCCAAGCACAATTAAAGCCAACAGCTATAGTTGTAAACTTGAACCTGTGGTCCGAACACGTGGCCCACGTGCCTGAGTGACGTGGGCTTGATAGAGTTCAGGTGCATGTAGTTGAGTGGAATTGAAACCCACCAGAATGTTGTAAACATCGTGACCACGCCCTTACTTTGCCTGGTGGCATCTGCTGTAAGATGGCTGGTAGTCCTAGGTGCTGTCTCTCCATCAGAGAAGCAGTGTCCCACCCAGACCCAGCTTTCATTCTCTTGTCTGTCTTTTCTCAATCCTTCACACCCCCTCCTCCCAGGGTCATTGAACCTGGCTGAGCTGGCATGGCACATAAGGTGCCCTGGGGCTGAGTATGCTCGCCACAGCCTATGTCTTCCTGTTTCCTGCTCATTTTCAAAGCATGGTTTTACAGACCCCCCACCTAGCAATATCTTTTCAGTAGAATCCTTTTCTACATTAAAAAATAAATAAATAAATAAATAAAATCCAGCCCAGCTGGTTTGGCTCAGTGGGTAGAGCGTCGGCCTGTGGACTGAAGGGTCCTGGGTTTGATTCCGATCAAGGACACATGCCCGGAAGGCAGCTGATCAAGGATTCCCTCTCATCATTGATGTTTCTATCTCTCTCTTTCTCCCTCTCCGTTCCTCTCTGACATTAATAAAAATATTTTAAAACAAAACCTAGACCCATTTTCTGCTGATTACAGCTAAGAACAACTATTACCAAATGGTTACTGGGGAGTGAGCAACAGAACTAAAGTATGAATGGACTGAACAGAGGAGGTCCCAGGTGATAGGACCTCAGAGTTCTGAGCTGGGAAGTTGGTGATCCTCGCTCCATGGTTGGAAGACAGCTGGAGCTTTCTTAGTGTCAGACAAGTACATATCAGAAAGAGGAAGAGCTTCCATTGGGGAAGGACTGTCTGTCTGAAAGCAAGAGAATAGGAAGAAAACGGGACTTTATGAAAAGCTCTCTGTCTGCAGCCTGCAGTTTATTAAGCATTCCATTCCTTGAAACTGTGGGGCTAAAATATGTTAATTTTCTACTTCCGGAGAGATTCGGCGCCAGGGGTTAGGAAGTTCCTGCTGCTGGAGACCCTGGCCATGGGAGGCCACACATGTAGGACGAGGTCAGAAGAAGGCTGACGAGTCTTTGAAGCTCCAGGTTTGTTGCTCAACGGAGCAAAGAGAGAACTAGAATTTAAAATATTTTGGGGAAGTGAAAAGTCACCCTAAAAGAAGTTCTGATGATCGCAGATTCCTCTGTAACAGCATCACCAAATTCTTGCCACTTTTCTTTAAATCTGAGCACCGTCTGCACACTCTTAAGACTATACTTTTAAGAATCTTAGATGACTTTCATTCCATGATTCAAAGCTCGGAGACCCCAAAGCCATGTTTTCAGTTTATTGACTCTAGCTCTTCTTCTGTCACAGTGTTTTACAGACAATAAGGATCTCATCCTTCCTGGCCCATCCAGAGAGAGAGAGCCTGAGGCACCGGGCCTCCATCAGGCCTGCGTGGTGACCTGCAGCGGCTCCTAGAACCAAGCACAGGCAGCCAGAGTGGCAAGGGTTCCAGGCTCTGGTGGTGGCCAGCTGCCTGAGCTAGGAGCTCTACGCGCTAGCTTCCTGCCTGTGGCTTTCCTTATCCACTCCCAGCGAAGAGCAAGACGCCGAAGGTCTAGACTCGTGGGTTTGCATCGTCCATTCTGTCTGCTGCTCCACAGAGACGGAAAGCTGTCCTGGGCCTGTGCCCCGCAGAGCAGACTGAGTGGGTGGGAAACTTCCCTTTCTTGTTCCTGTCGCTGGTGGGTGTGCAGGCGACATCCCCAGGCAGTTGATCCGAGGAGTGCGGTCTGTAGAGTATCGGGAGAACTTGAGACCTGGGGCCAAGTTCAGTGTTTCTTTTGTCTCCTCCGTGCTCTTTCCGCCAGTCCCTACCCCGGGGCTGTGGTGTCAGCTCTCTGGAAGTGTCACGCTGGCATAGACCGTGATGGAGCTTGGTTTCTGGGGGCAAAACAGAGGGCGTCTGTGAGTGGGGGGACGGGCTCTGGCTTCACAGGAATGAATAGACACAGCACAGCTTAGGAGAAGGGAGGGGCCTCAGAAAACTTGTAGCATAGACACTTGCTCAGGGCCTGTCTGTCAAAGTCAGCCCCAGCTGCCTGTCGTGGCCGCAAGGTGGACTATGGCTCCTTCCAAGTGGATGCCTGCCCTCAGGAGTCAGGAGACGGGGAGAGCTGTGACCAGATGCACCAGAACCTGGCATCCTCCCCTCCTCACTCTCTTTCCTTCTTCTGACATACACTGAGTGGCCAGATGATGATGATGATCTCTGAGCGCATAATAATCTGGACACTCAGTGTATATCCTATATAATAAAAGGCTAATATGCAAATTGTCCCCTCAACCAGGAGTTCGACCAGCAGGCAGGCCAGCCAATTGCCCATGTCCTCTCCCCTTGGTCAGGCTGGCTGGACGCCCCCCCCCCATGCACGAATTCATGCACCGGGCCTCTAATACACACACACACACACACACACACACACACACACACTGAGTGGCCAGATTATTATGCGTTCAGAGATCATAATAGTCTGGCCACTCAGTGTATAAGGAAAACCATTTGTTTTGGTCTCATGGGGCACAGTTTGGAGAAGCTAAGAGAATCCCAAATTCCGGAGCTTTACAAAGGGCTAGTGGTTCAGGCAGGAGAGACGGAGGGAGAGGAGGTGAGGCTTTGGGGCAAAGACCTTTTGTAGAGAGGAGGTTCAAGCGTCTGAGAAAGAAAGAGACAAAAGTGGGAAAAGTCAGGAGGTTTTCCTGTGAAATACACTGTTTTTCTTTCCCCAGAAAACTTCATTATAAATTTAGATGATTTTGTAAAAGATTTTAAAGTCAGAGCATGTGTACAGTGAGCGCTTCGAGGAACAGGGGTAAATGTAGGCCTTTCTGTGGCCTTTTAATCCTCACCTGCCCCCTAAAATGCTTTATTTAAGAGAGCTCAGCCAGAGTCAAGATTCCAGCCCAGAATGTATTTCTGTCCATTTATTGACAGTAAAAGGAGAGCGTGCTGTCAAGTGGGATGAATCCAAGGCTGATTCTGCGATGGGAGTGGGTGAGGCCCATTCTGGACTGCCCGTCACATGCTCTTCCAGGCTTCAGACCTACGCAGGGCTCAGCCCCTAAATATTCTGATTAAATAGGGCCGGATGGAGCCTAGACGCAGGCATTTTACAAATGATTCTGTTACACAGTTGGACGTGAGAACTCCTGGACTCAGACTGCAATCCCCAAACTTTTTTTTTTTTTTTAATAAAAAATATATTTCTTTATGATTTCAGAGAGGAAAGAAGAGGTAGAGAGAGAGAGAAACATCGACGATGAGAGAGAATCATTGATCAGCTGCCTCCTGCATGCCCCCCACTGGGGATCAAGCCCACAACCCAGACGTGTGCCCTTGGCCAGAATCGAACCTGAGACCCTTCAGTCCACAGGCCGACGCTCTACCCACTGAGCCAAACTGGCGAGGGCGCAATCCCCAAACTTAAAGGTGCGTCTGGAGCCCCAGGGGTTGCTGTTTTTGGTGTGTAGCTGTCGGTTGCTTGCCATAGGCATTCTGCTCGAACTGCATCCTGGGTGGAAAAGTCCTGGAATCTTCATTTTTAACAAAGACACCAGCGGATTCTGAGAAACACCAGTGAGCAGAGGAAGCTGTGAGCAGCCGTGAGGGGTTCCCGGAAGCCCCACAACCAAGGCCGCCACTGCTCCTGGCTACCTTCTTCTTCTTTTTCTTTTTTTCTTTAAGTATTTTATTGATTTTTTAACAGAGAGGAAGGAAGAGGGACAGAGAGTTAGAAACATTGATGAGAGAGAAACATTGATCAGATGCCTCCTGCACACTCCCCACTGGGGATGTGCCCGCAACCAAGGTACATGCCCTTGACCTTGTCCGGAATTGAACCTGGGACCCTTCAGTCCACAGACCGACGCTCTATCCACTGAGCCAAACCGATTAGGGCTCCTTGCTACTTTCTTGCAGGGCCTCTGTGTCCTTTCAGCTCTGCCCACGCCCCAGCCTTCCCGCCCCTCCGCTTCCCTCTCTGCAGAGATGCCTCACCTGGGCAGGCTCTGGGGCAGGCTCTGCGGCTGCCACGTAGATGGTGGTGCAGGGGTCCTGGGCGGGCAGGGGATCCGGTTTCTTCTGAAGAGACTAGCGAGAAGCAAATAAAGCAGGAAGTTAGCGGAAGGCAAAGTTATTTCTCATCCGTGGAGTTACCTTGAGTGATTCCCCACTGAGATGCACAGAATCAGAAAGCATTGAGTTAAAAACTCCTTAGGATAATTTGGTCCAGCCTCCTTCCCAGGTGGAAATTCTCTCCCAAAATCCCTGGAACTCAATTCTTGGGGCTTTGCTTGGACCCCACAGTGACACCTTAGCGCTCACAACCTCATGTGTCAGCCTAACTTGTCATTTGTGCTGCCCGAATGTGTGAGAGGCCTTCCTGACAGTGAACCAACATCCGTGGCTCTTCCTGGGACCCCTGAAGGGAAAGCCTTCTCCTGGTATTTGAGCCTGGCTCATATCATTTCCCACATGCAGACTTCATGCCATCCCCACACTCCAACACGGCTTTTCCTTACTTCTGTTTCCCGTATGAACTATGGAACTTCGTAATAACCACCCACATGCGTGTTAAAGTTTACAAAGTTCTTCACATGTCTTTCCATTTGCCTCACAACCACTGTGTGCTAAATACTGTTGTCACTCACATTTTACAGGTTAACAATGCAAAAAGCACTGAAGCCAGGAGTCCCACCCAGCACTTGTGAAGTGCATGCTCTTTCCACCAGACCCTTCTCCTCTGGTCATCCAACTTATACTGACCTCTCCTTGGCCTAAATGCCTCAGTTATTTATTTTAAAATACATTTTATTGTTTTTTTTACAGAGAGGAAGGGAGAGAAATAGGGAGTCAGAAACATTAATGAGAGAGGAACATCAATCAGCTGTCTCCTGTACACTCCCTACTGGGGAAGTGCCCGCAACCAAGGTACATGCCCTTGACCGGAATGGGCAGTCCACAGGCCGATGCTCCAGCCACCGAGCCAAACCGGTTAGGGCAATTCCTTGGTTATTTAAAATCTAATCCACACACGATGGCACTTAACTGCAGGCTGAATTTAACACACTCCTATTTAAACATTGTTTCTCCAAATAGACGATCAGTTCCTTGAGAAATCAGCTATATTTCTTTGCATTCCCCACAAAATAGCGCTGGTGTTTTGATGAATCACAATCTACAACACCAGGATGAAGTCAGGGTGGGGATACTTTGTGACCACAACCCTGTAAGACGGAGATGACGTATTTTATGCCAGGAAAGCCATCCTTTCAGCAAGGATGTGGGGCACGCTAGTGTAGAGTGATGCTTCTCTCCACTTTTCCTGATACAGAGCAAGACTCGAAACAAGCACATGGTTTCTCATAGGAGAGGACTTAGACTCTTGTCACCGAGGCTGTGTCCCACCCTAGGAATTGGAAGAGGTTTACTTGAAGGAGAAAAGCTTCCAGGTGGAACATGATCTTTCTCTTCATGCATTTTGCTGAGTTGCCATGTAGAAGAGAAATTGGGTTTGTAATGTAGAGTCCTTCAGGTTTAAACCCAGGTTGGAATTTTAGGGAAATCTTTTGTGTAATGTAATAAAGAGTTTTCTAAAATAAAAGGTGCTCATGTGTGGGATGAATTGCAATGGGAGGCAGTGAGAATGCCTGGGTGGCTCAGGACTTCTCATACTTCAATGTATCTATGATTTACCTGGGGATTTTTTTTTATTTTTTAAAAATGATTTCAGAGAGGAAGGGAAAGGGAGAGATAGAAACATCAGTGATGAGAGAGAATAATTGAATGGCTGCCTCCTGCACGCCCTCTACTGGGGATCGAGCCCGCAACCTGGGCATGCGCCCCCCCCTCCCCCCTTTAAAAAAATATATTTTATTGATTTTTTATAGAAAGGAAGAAAGAGGGGGTAGAGAGTTAGAAACATCGATGAGAGAGAAACATCGATCAGCTGCCTCTTGAACACCCCCTACCAGTGTACATGCCCTTGACCAGAATTGAACCTGGGACCCGGCAGTCCGCAGCCAGACACTCTATCCACTGAGCCAAACTGGCTAGGGCTACTTAGGGATTTTCTTAGGAGGCTGGTTCTATTTCAGAAGGTTTGGGGCGGGGCCTGGGATTCTGCATTTCTAACAAGGTCCCAGGTGCTGCTGCTAATGCTTGGTCTGAGACTATATTTTAGTAAAAAGAAGATAGCCAACACTTTGAAAGTAATGTTGTAGAAAGTAATTCAAGCAGTAATTTCTTGGTTCCAATAGATTACTTTCAAGATTCCATACAATTTGGAGAAGTTTTGAATTTAAGGAAGAATTACTTGCAATAATGAGATGCACAAGAAGGATGTAAAACTATCCAATCCTTGCCCGTCTGACTGCCTGGGAGGGCGTTTCTATGACCTGGCTAAGAGGCATGAAGGAGAAGGCATATGAGTTGCTTTTACATCTCATTAAAAAGTTTAGAAAAAAGGAAAACGCATAGGAAACACATGGTTTTGTCACTTCAACACAATATGGTTATCAGGTTGTTAGATTTCACGTCAGGATTTTTATCTAGGTTTAGGGAATTCTTTTAAACATGGATGTAATAACTTAGTACCTTTTTGTATCTTGAAGCCTTCAGTTAGGGCACAACTCCAGGAAGCATGATTTACAAGGAACTGCAGGTGCATTATACCCTCATTCTTTATGAATGCTATCCCCTGGGACTGTGCAAGGTGCTAGCCCTGATAAGACCTATAAGAGTCCCTAGCAGACAGCAGACATTTATTTGGTAAAGAATTTTCTATGTTATTATAGCCTTTCTGAAGGTATTAAATAGCCATTAAAAATAAGAACAAAGACAATGTTAATAAATTTGGATAATTGTCCATGGTATCACAGTTGTTATGTAATATCACATAGGCATTGTAAATATGAACAAAAAAACTATAAAGATGTGGGTAAGTCTAAATGCACATTGAAAACAATAATAATTGTCTTATATGTTTAAAACATATGAAATTAAAATAATGACCAAAAAGGCACATAAATCTAAAGGTGAAATTGAAGATGGAGTTAAAATAAAATAAAGGTGGAGTTAGAGTATTGCCCAGAAATAAATATTAGACTTTGATAAATCAAGGATGCATTTCCTTATTTCTAGGGTAACCAATTTGTTTAATTACTAATCTAATAGGCAAATTAAATAATAAAAATATAATTTAAATATCCTCTCAAAGACACCTCTGGCTTCACTCATGAATCCTGCCAAATATTTAAGAATAAAAATAACATAAATAATACACAAACATTTCCAGAGAATAAAAAAAGAAAATATATCCTATAATGAGGGGAATGCAAAATAAAACTATAAAAATCCACATCCAACAGAATAAATAAAATTTGAAAGACTAATAATACCAAGTTTTGATTAGAATGTATAGCAACTGAAATTCTTATAACTATCCTATATAATAAAAGCCTAATATGCTAAGTGTCCGACAGTTCATTCGACCTTTTGACCAGTCACTATGAAGCGCACTGACCACAGGGAGTAGACAATCTGACCAGTAGGTTAGTTTGCTGCTGGGGTCCAGCTGATTGAGACTGGGCAAGATGGGCTGGACACACCCTGGAGCCCCCCTCCCGACCCTGATTATATACTGGTAGGGTCTCTTGGCCTGGCATGTGCCCTCTAGCAATCCAGGTTCCCTCAAAGGATTCCAAGAGCTGATTTTGGCTCTATTCCCACAGACCAGGCCGAGGGACAACACCCCCCTCCCCCCAGTAGTATCATAATAGCTAGTCATAATCCCTTTGACCTCCCTCTTAACATCTGCTCAATGTATCTGATAGAAAAGTAAGTTGTTATACCCACTTTGAAAAAAAAAGTTTGGCCTTATTTAGTAAATTTGAAGATATGCATACTCTATGATTCAGCAATCCTACTTCTAGGTATATACTATACAAAAATATGTGCACATGTTTACCAAGAGAAGGACATATGTTTGAGCGTTCATAGTGCCATTTTTATAGAAGCCTCACAGTGGAAATAATCCAAATGTCTATCAGTAGTCAACTGGATAAATAAACTAGTATAGTCATGCATTGACATCTATAAAAAAAAGGAAAGTGAATGTATTATATCTAAGCTCAAAGACATGTATGAATATCATAAAGGTAATGTTGAACAAAAGAAATCAAACAAAAGAAAAGATACTGTAGGATTCCATTTTTATAAAATCAAGAAAAAAGAGAGAAAATGAAATTATAGTTTTAGAAGTCAGAAGTCAGGAGAGTGCTATCTTTGGGGAGGAGTGAGAAGTTAATGATTGGGAGAGGTACCAGGAGGGATGGGGGTTGCTGCCAATGTTCTGTTCCTTTATCTGAGTAATAGTTTTAGGGAGACTCAATACTGCAAGACATAATTTCTCCTCAAATAGATCTGTAGATTCAATGCAATCCTGGTAGGAATTTTTTTTCCTTTTTGTGATACTTGAGAAGTTGATTCTAAAATACATATAAATGGTCAAAAACTCTTAAAGAAAAACAAGATACGAAGATCTGCTTTACTAGATATTGAGATGTAATAACTCATTGATCTGACACATATATTGTGCACTTTTGGTATCTATGCCAGACTTTATACAATAAAAAGAGGGGTGCTTACTGCATCGAATAGATAGGAAAGGACCATGATAAAGCTGAACCTTCATATAAGAGTAGAGGTTACTCTTAGGACTCTAATATACTTATACTAGAGGCCCAATGCAAGAAGATTCGTGCAAGAATGGGCCTTCCTTCCCCTGGGTGCCGGCACTGCCTTTGCTCTGGCAGAAGCCGCCTTTTCACTCCAGCCCAGAGCCACCTTTCTGCTCTGACCCAGAGCTGCCTTTCCACCTTCCCATGCTGCCCAGAGGCCTGGAGTAGCTGGGGTGGTGTGAAACACCTACATCGTCGCCATGGTGACGACGCAAGTGTCCTGCCCCATCCCTGTCCACTTGATGCCCATGTATGCAAATTAACCTGCCATCTTTGTTGGGTTAATTTGCATACCATCTCCTGATTGGCTGGTGGGTGTCGCAAAGATACAGTCAATTAGCAAGTTATTCTTTTATTAGGTAGAAGATAGATTAAGTAGATGGAAGATGGTTCTCGGTGGTTGTCATGGCTTGTGTAATAAACCCTCCCAGCCACTAGAGGACATCAGAAATAAAAGTTTTGTCTAAAAGTTCATCTCTGGTTATCAGAAATGCATTTATTGTCATCTGATGCGATTTTCCAACATACTAATCAAATATCTCATTGCCTTTATATCCCTTACTCCAGAATTTGCTTTCTGGTAAACTCTGAATGGCCAGATACTGGCCTATCACCTAGAACTGTTTTCATGTCTGAAAAACTATAGTATCATAATAGCTAATCATAATCCCACTAATCCCCCTCTTGACATCTAAGCATCATCATAATTCTAATTTCTTCATCCCTCTCTGCTGTCTCAGTCCAACAATCACAGTTTTGCTTTCTTTTATTTTCAGCCTATGTATCATCTTCCATCTCTTCACCACCGTCCAGCCAGAATCCTCAAGATCTCCCTTCCTTGGCACTTTGGCACTTTGCAAACTTCTAAACGTGGACCAGACCAACCTGTCACACAATTGCTTTCCTAAACCTTTTCCACTCTCCTCACGCTTGCACCTTTTTCCCTAGAGAAGGAGAGAGTTTCCTAGCCTGGAATGGTAGACTCCTAGAATGTGTGAGAGCTGGAAGGAGTCATACGTCATGTCTTTCTAACTTCCTTTTTTTTTCCCCCTGTGAAGAAACAGATGACCAGAAGATTACCCGGTATTTTCTGTTATTTCGCTAACAAATAGTCCCATCTGACACTGAAGCTAATATCCTTTCAGAGCGCTCTTGCTCTTGACTTCTGCTCCCTTAACTTCCCCTGCTTCAGAACCCATGGAGAACCGTGGATGTCAGAAATGCATGGCCAACTGGCAGGAAGCCATAGGAAACACCCCAGAAAAAGAAAGTGTAGGACTTACTCCTGATTTCTGGACTTGGGCATAGATGGTAAGGTTTTTTGCTTCCACTGTTGGCTTGTAATGGTCTGTGTGGCCTGGAGAAAAGAGACCATAGAGTTATCTCCCTCTGGTCCCCAGCATGAACCTCCCCCTCCCTATTGGGTACCAATTTCCCTAAGAGCACCACAGAACAAAGCACTGAGTCCCCCACTCTCCCCAACCCCCTGCACACCTGTCATTTGGCATTAGGTTAGTTACTTGAATTCTCTGGGCCGATTTTCCTGTCTGTGAAATGGGTTGAAACACCTGCCTCAAAGGGCTGTTGTGATGATAACATGCGCCATGACTTGTGAAGGGTTTAGAGTAGGGGGTGGCAAATAGTAAATTCCCAATGCACGGTAAGTGTCATAAATTATTTTAATCTTTATTTGTTGATGTGTGTATCTGTTTTTTTTAAATTAGGATGCTAAGTTTTTAAAGGGCAGGGTGAGTTATGTATGCCTTTTTTTGTGTGTATTTTTCAGCTCATAACCGTCTGCTTCACTAACAGCTCTCTTGCCTCCCTATTTCGGTGGGACTTGATGTGTATGTGAAGGGGAGGGACTCTAGAAGGATAGGCCGCCTGAGATTACTTAGCAAATAAAGTTATAATGCCATTCTATTGCCTACCAATAGGAAATTTTGCTCAGAGCCCAGGGTTTCTGGAAAGTAATGTTGCAAAACATTTTCATTTTTAACCAATATTACAACTTTTTAAAATTATAGAAATCATTCTAGTTACAAAAATAAAAATTGTATAGAGTAAGCCTGCCAGCATGGCTCAGTGGTTGAATGTCGACCTATAAACCAGGAGGTCACAGTTGGATTCCCAGTCAGGGCACATGCCCGGGTTGCAGGGTCGATCCCCAGTAGGGGGCATGCAAGAGGCAACTGGTCAATGATTCTCTCTCATCATTGATTTTCTTATCTCTCTCTCTCTCCTTCTCCTTTCCTCTCTGAAAGCAATAAGAATATATTTTTCAAATGGTACAGAATAAAAATTATATCCCTCTACCCCATTAAGCTGTGCAATTTTATTCTCAGAAATAATCGCTTTTAACAGTTACATTTATATTCTTCAGGACCAGCTCTGTGCAATAGAATTTCCTGTGATGGTGAAAATGTTTCATGACTGCAGTCTAATACAGTAGCCACAAACCACATGTGGCTATTGAGCATTTGAACTGTGATTAATGCAAATCAGGCCCTGAATTATAAATTCAATTTTATTCTAATTAATTTAAATTTAAAAAGCCACACGTGGCTAGTGACTACCTAGGACAGTGCAGTCCTAGACATTTGCTGTATTTATATAGATATTTTGTATGAAAATAGGGTCATTCCATATACGCTTTTCTTAACCTTTTCACATACAATGTGTTGAGGGTATTTCCCACCTACCTCATTTTTACTAATGTTTCATGGCAGACTTTGCATGCCTCATGTAGCAGTGAGAGGAATGGAGGAAGGTAACACACTAACATGTGGAGGCCTATTTGGCAGAGGCTATGGAGACCTGACCCAGAGGAAAGGACACAAAATCTTTAGGGTACACTTAATTTTTAGGGTACTCTCATTTGAACACCGACTAATTTATTGTCTTAAAGATCTAGGAGCATGTCTCTGAGGGAACTCCACTTAGGAAAGGTATACTTTTCTTTGGAAGAGAGAGAGGGTGTGATCCTTGGGGAGGAAATGATGGGAAGCCAACTGGAGAAGCTTAAAGAATTGAAGGAATGTCAATCTGTGATTTTCTTGTGTGGGCCTGGGCATGGAGTTCTTGGTGGCTCCAGCTTCACTTTTTTGGTCAGGGTTGATAGTGGCTAAGGACCGTGTGTGTGTGTGTGTGTGTGTGTGTGTGTGTGTGTGTGTGTGTATGTGTGTGTGTGTGTGTGTGTGTGTGTGTTTGCATGCACATGTATGCAGAATGGAGGATAGGGGTTGAGGTGATCAGAGGCAATAACAGAAGAGGTGCAAGTCAGTTCTGATATATCCTTTCAGTTCAAATCTATGAGTGTTTGCAAAGCTAGAAGTGCCCGCCTAGCACTGTCCTAGGTGCTGTAGGAGAACAAATAGAAAACAGACCCCAGTGTTTAAGGACTTTCAGTCTTACAGCTCAGCTCAGGCTGAAATTTAGAGTTGTGGGGGACAATCCTAAATGGTCAGATGGAAGAAGTAAGGTTGAACGTTATTTCTCAAAAAGACCACTGGACCAAGATCATTCAATCTCCTAGTTTGTTCCCAGTGTAAGAACAAGTTTCCAGGAGCTAGCTTGATTCTGCTCAAAGTCAGTGAAGCCTTTGGGTCTCATGAAAAAGGCCTTAGGATTACGGCATCTCCATTCTAGCCCTCACCATTGAACAAAACATGTCAGCTAACTGGGACTCTTCTGTGACCATGTCTTTACAATGAAGATGTAGACTGTCTAATGACTTTTTCAGCTCTCACTGAAGCAGAAAGCTACCATGACTTCAAGTACTTTAAATCTTTAAAACAAGGTATTGCTCCCAAATGCTTCCTGTGCTGCCCTCTGCTGGCTATAGACTTCAATATTGATGTTTTAACTCACTACATTAAGTGCTATCTCTCTCTCTCTCTCTCTCTCTCTCTCTCTCTCTCTCTCTCTCTCTCTCTCTCTCTCTCTCTCATCTATCTATATCTCTGACAACTATCCATAGAAGCCATTGTATCCTATGATTTCTGTGTATGAACTCATGCATTCCCATGACAATAACATGAAGTACATAATATTATTCTCATTTTCCAGAGGGGAGGGTAAATCATTTGCTCAGTCAGTGGCTTGGTCTGTCTGCATTCGAATGTAAGTTTGTCTAACAAAGCCCACGTTCTCAGTCAGTGTATTCTGGATATGAAGTTGCCAGAGTCCATTGGGAAACCTTCAGCGTCCAGCTGCATTCTGCAGACGGCAGCTTTAGAAACTGCCAACAGGATGTCTTGAGCAGAGGCTCTGGAGGGGACAGATATTAAGAACAGGTTTTCCCACAGGTGTGAGACAGGATTTTTGTCTTCCTGACTGACAAGGAGTACATAGTGACTGGCTAGGAGGACGGATGTGTGTGTTGGGGATGGTGGTAGGAAATTGTCGTGGGATGAAGCATACTAGTCCCTTCAGGGCACAACTATATGAGGAGTAGGATGTAGTGAGGAAAAAATGTGAGTGAGACTCACAGCACCTTCACTAACGAGGTTAACGTGGGTGTGTTAATTTGTTTTTCTCAACCATGGTATCTCACTATTTCCTTATCATCCAAGCCAAATGTGGTCACCCGGCCTCATGCTCATAGTCTGTCCTCATGGGTTCTATCTGAATCACCCCCCCACCCCACCCTTTCCCCAGTGAACTCTTATATGGAGGAAATGAGACAGATGGCTGTGTGGTGATCTAGATTTTCTTATATAAGCAAAACCAACACTGGAGCGCTGAGGTAAGAGTTTTTCCGAAAAGGCTACATGTGGGCAAGATAGATCTACTGGCGAATGAGCTCAGCTGTCAGCTTGATGGCATAAAGATATATTCTCTCCTCACCATGAGGAGGCCAGGCGGGTCTTGGGGCCCTCATGTGGGTGGATGAGGAAAGTGTGGTGGAGGGGAGCACACTGCCCCGAGACATTGAATCATAGGACTGTTGGAGGAGAAGGCAGGAGAAAGGAAATGCAAGGAAATCATTGGGCCTTCATGGTGTTAGTCTACTCTGGGTGACTTTCTATGTTATTTAGTTTGGCATTAAGCAATCTCACAAATTGCACACTTTCCCAAGGTGAGTCGGGATTTGTGCAAACATCTTAGTAAAGAGTGATCCCTTTGCTGTTTTCTGATGACCCATGGGCCTTCCCAGTGGAATGCACCCTGGTGGCTGGGAGACACAGTTATAGTTCTCATTTCCTTGCCAACCAGCAGAGTGACCTTGGACAAGTCACTTGGCCTCTCCGTGTCTCTGTGAGCCCATTGCAAAGTCACATAGAAACAGTCATCCTACTTCTCTCAGAGGAGTATCATAAGAATAAAAAGAAATTATAGAAAGATTTCCATCCTTGAGCAAAAAAAATATTATAATGTCCTTTTATTGGTCAATAATTACAACTTTTCTTGAATGAGATCCAAGAATCCTCTAAAATTCTGCTCCTATTAAAACTCTGGTCAGGGCCCCCTTCAGCAGTATTTGTCATATTGAATTAAAACTAACAGTGTATACCGTTTCCCATGTTAGATACCTCAAGCTCATGTCTCTTAGTATCCCCGTTGGCTAGTATAGGGGATTGGCACATTTTGAATTAGACTGAACTGAACAAGGTCCCAGGATCTGTTTGCTCAGTGTTTTTGCAAAAGTGCTCCCTGAGGAAAGCTAAATTGAAGAGAGCAAGTTGGTGCTTGAGGTGAGAGGTCCCTCGCTTACCACAGAGACTACGATAAGCATCTCTTTATTGTTAGACACCTACCTCTTCTTCTGAACAGAAGTATTACCACTTGGCCAATCAGGATGACACCAATGATGCCTCCTAAGAGCAGCCCAACATGCAGTCCCCATTGTCTTGGTACTGAAAAAAAAAAGGCAAAGGGCGGTCTCAGATGTACTGTGAGTGTGAGGACATCCTGCACAGACATGGGGAGGGTGAACACGAGCCTCACGTTCTCTTTCTACGTTTTCTCTCAAGGAAGACATCTGTTTTCTGCGTTTTCGAGATCACGTTAGACCATGGAAGATTTCCACATCGGTTTCCTTACCCTCATTTCTCTTACCATATTTGGCTTTCACAGTCCTAGTTTCTGTAAAGATTTTTTCCCCTACTCAAATGCATTATTTCTACTTCCATCACCACATCCCATGTCTAAAATCAAACTTATCTTCATTTCTCTTAAGTCAACCTTTCTGTCCCGTTTCTCTATTTTAAAAATCTCAAATGTGGCCGTATCCATTTTGGTAAAAAGAACATGGCGGCTCCATGTGTTGTCCTCATTCTCATGAGAATTCTGAGAGGAGAAAGACCTATGTGGTTTTTTTTTTTTTTTTTTTTAAAGAAACATACTAGTGCTTTTATTGTCCATCCATGCAAATAACTGTATTGAACCCACGAGGCCTGACATCCCCATGTTTAATATTTGCTCCTATCACCCAGGTTCAAAATCACAGAGTCAAGTTTTTTGTTTTTATCTTTTAAAATATATTTTATTGATTTTTTACAGAGAGGAAGGGAGAGAGATAGAGAGCTAGAAATGTCGATGAGAGAGAAACATCGACCAGTTGCCTCTTGCACACCCCCTACCAGGAATGTGCCCGCAACTAAGGTACATGCTCTTGACCGGAATCGAACCCAGGACCTTTCAGTCCGCAGACCGACGCTCTACCACTGAGCCAAACTGGTTTCGGCAGAGTCAAGTTTTATTGCTTTTTCTCCTTTACCCATGTTATCAAATCCTTCTGAACCGGAAGCAGCATTTTGGAAAATAGTGATTGAGACCCGTTTCCTCAATAAACAAGACATTTAGCTCAATTAAATAACAGAATATTCTGAGCATTTACAACAGGTCAGACACTTCTTTTAGTAAATCATCTGTATTAATTATTTAATCCTCACAACAATCCTACTCTCATTACTCCCATCTTGTGGATAAGAAAGCTGGTGTGGAGATACTCAGGAACTAGAGCTTAGTCCAGAGTAGAAACATGGCAGCATATTGAAGAGAGATCTCTTGGGGTGTCAAAGACCCCGAGGTAATGAACAGTGGGGGCTGACTTGAAGCATGGGGTTCTACATAAAGCAATAGCGTTAAGGTTCTAAGTAGTATACTACCAGGTGCTAACATTAATGTGCAAGCGTAACTTCTCAGGAGGATTGTGTCATGAGCCTGCTGTTGCACCTGTGATGAGTTTGTTGGGAAGAAGTTGAAAGGAAGGAATAGTTAGATAGCAAATGAACACCTCAGGTATCTACAGAGTTGATTAAAGATACAGACTGGAGTCTCAATGAGTTGAGAAAAGGCATTCCACTGAGATCCACGTGGCCCTTTCACCTGACAGCTACCCAAAAGTTCCTCCTAATTTTGAAAAGATTCTCTCTCTCTCTCTCTTTTTAAAAATATATTTTATTGATTTTTTTTAAGGAGAGGAAGGGAGAGGGATAGAGAGTTAGAAACACTGATGAGAGAGAAATATTGATTAGCTGCCTCCTGCAAACCCACCCCCTCCCCCACTGGGGATGTGCCTGCAACCAAGGTACATGCCCTTGACCAGAATCGAACCTGGGACCCTTCAGTCCGCAGGCTGATGCTCTATCCGCTAAGCTAAACCAGTCTGGCTCTCTTTTTCTTCCTAGGTCTTTCAGACAGCAAGTCTGAAATCTTGCTGGAATCTCATTGAACTGGCTTTGAAAACATCTTGATTATAGATTCTCTTCCCCAAGTTAAATATGTTTTAATCCTCCCAGATACCAACGTCAGCATAGTCAGAAGACTTGATGAAAAAGCTAGGGGACAAACAGAAAATTGCAGTAAAATGCCTGACTTTAGGTAAAGCATGAAATTCGAGCGTGGACTCACTTCTGAGGCTGGAGTTGCTCTGTGAGCGGCTCCACTCTGAAGGACTACTCTGAATGGCTTACGATTGCTGAGAACCCTCTATGCATGCAGGTGTGTGTGTGTGTGTGTGTGTGTGTGTGTGTGTGTGTGTGTGAGTGTGTGTGTGTGTGTGTGTGTGTGTGTGTGTGTGTGTGGTATTGAATGAGTAGGAGATTGATTATTCAGGGCTTATGTTGCCAACACCAGGGACCTGTGGAGAAACCTCCTAAATCCCATGATAAGAAACAGAGGCAGCAGCCCACGCACCACCATGCCTCCTGAGCCCACGGAGCTGACTTGCAAATTCTTATAGTAGCCCTTCCTATTTTGAGACTATTTCCTCTTTTGCTTTTCCTCATGTATTTGGGGACCTTCTAAAACTATAGTTAATGTAAGAACAAACACTATTTAAACCATGTTAAAATATGATGTCTCTCAAATTTCATTTGAGATAAAAACAAATAAAACAAACGAAGTGGTGCCTCTCAAACCAGAAAACAGAGGATGACAAAACTGCATCAGTAACACCTGCCAACTGAGCCTTTCTCCTGGGGCCGCTGACAGCGCTGCCACCACCCACTCCTGTAAGCTAACAATGACCGGGGCGCATTACTGAGGCCCAGAGGATATAACACTCCAGCCTGCTCTTTCTTCTCCTTTTTATTTTTATTTTTTGACTTCTAAATTTAAAAAAATTCAAATTACTTTACTTTCAATATTATTTTCTATTGGTTTCAGGTGTGCAGCATGGTTAGAGGATCGCATTCTCTACAAAGGGTTACCTCAGATAGGGCCAGGCAGGCGGGGGGGAGGGGATGATTTGCATATTACCCTTTTATTACATAGGATTAGTGACTATAGTCCCTATCCTGTACTTTACATCCCCATGACTAGCTTGTAACTGCCAATTTGTGCCTCTTAATCCCTTCACCTCTTTCACCCAGCCCCCCAAACCTGTCTCCTCTTTCTTTTTCGGGGTCTTAGGAGGATGAAAGTTATCTGCTACCCCTTGTCCTATGACCAGTCTAGCCAGATGTGAGAGGCAACCTGGCCATAGTCCTGAAAGAGATTTCATAGGTCTTCACTTTTCTCTTAGTCTTTAGATACGAAGTGATATGAATCTGCTGGAGTATTTAAGGTACAGAACCACAGGCTTTTTTAACTTTAAAAGAACTATCCTGCTTATCTCACCTGACCCCCTAATTTGGTGTTGAGAAAACGAAAACTCAGACAAGTGTACCTAGAGTCACAGAAGAAGTTGACGGCAGCTTGGTTGGTGTGAGCGTTGAGAGTTGACCTATGAACCAGGAGGTCATGGTTTGATTCCCAGTCAGGGCACATGCCTGAGTTGCAGGCTCAATCCCCAGGAAGGGCCTTTCAGGAGACAGCCAACCAACGATTCTCTCTCATTACTGATGTTTCTATCTCTCTCTCCCTCTCCCTTAATCTCTGAAATCAATAAAAAAACTAAACTAAACATATATTTAAAAAACAAGTTGATGGCAGAGCTGGATGAGAGTTTGTGGTTTGTGTTTCAACAGCAGCAGGCTGGAATGCCTGGGAGACCTCATGAAACAAAAGCACTCTGAGGGGCCAACTCACCCCTTCACCATCTTCTAAGCAACACCTGCCCATTCCTACCCCCCAGTGCCCTTTCCATGTTAAAATATGGTGTTCTCTTCCCCTGCTGTGCCTTCCAGCTGTCTACCTAGCCTGCCCAGCCTTGTCCTCCAGGCCAATCTTACTGCCTCCGTGTCCCATTGCCTGGCTGTTCTACTTCCCAATTCCCCCTTTACCTGGAACCTGGCAGCACCTGGGTTATGTCATGCCTCTTAGAACCTGAGCTGTGACATGATCTTTGCTTTGGAGGCCATTTTTGGTGAAGGCTGTTGAAGCCAGACAGATGAATTCAAATTCTAGGTCCACCACCTCCTGGCTCTGTGGCCCCAGAGAGGCTGCTCACACCTCCAGGGCCTCACTTTTTCTCAGCTGCAGACTGCACAGCCTTGTTCTGATAAACCCAGAGCAGTGACTGCGACTCAGCGGGTGGAGATAAACGTTAACTTTCCACTCGCCTCAATTCCCCAACTGGCTGCTATGTCAGTGGTCGGCAAACTGCGGCTCTCGAGCCACATGCAGCTCTTTGGCCCCTTGAGTTTTTAGCAGAGGCCAGCTTAGGAGTACCCTAATTAAGTTCATAACAAGGTACCTACCTATATAGTTTAAATTTAAAAAATTTGGCTCTCAAAAGAAATTTCAATCGTTGTACTGTTGATATCTGGCTCTCTTGACTAATGAGTTTGCTGACCAATGTGCTAGATTCTTGGGGGCCAGAGACCATCTCTTTAGACTGAAACCTTGATATAATGGACTGATTTGGGTAATAAAGTAGGTTTTCCAAATGCGTATATTAAAAAATTGACAAATTAGTTAATTTACCTATTTTTACTCATGTAGACATATTTGTGTAATTCAAATTAAGAATGTGTGAAAAGTTTAATTTCACAGAAGAGTTTTCTATATGGATTAATGCAATTTTATTTTATTTTTTATTTTTTTTAAAATATATTTTTATTGATTTTTCACAGAGAGGAAGAGAGAGGGATAGAGAGCTAGAAACGTCGATGAGAGAGAATCATCGACCAGCTGCCTCTTGCACACCCCCTACTGGGGATGTGCCCGCAACCAAGGTACATGCCCTTGACCAGAATCGAACGTGGGACCTTTCAGTCCGCAGACCGACGCTCTACCACTGTGCCAAACTGGTGCCGGCGGATTAATGCAATTTTAAATTTACACTGAATATGTCTAGTAAACGCGTGCATGCACATTCACCCAAGTAAACAAATGCACAGGCTGGAGCGTGGCTTCGTGCACGTGGGAACATCTGCTGGCAGCATTAAAACTGCTGCAGAGTCATGCCACCGACACAAAACCAATTCCCTAGCACTGTGGTTGACAAACTGTGGCTCGAGAGCCACAT